TTCAATGGGTGTTCAAAATATTAAAATCGGAATCTCTTTATATGTAGGTACAAGCAAAATTTTTCATAGAACTTGACTATAGTTTCCTCTCCAAGAGCCTTATATGCTCTATTTCATAGAATCCTACAACAGCTCTATGAGATAGGTACTCTTAATGTTCTGACTATGGATGAGGAAGCTAAAATGCAGAGAAGTTGGTCAATAAATGCTGAACCTCTAAGGTGGGAGCAGGGGTGGGTGAAACCTGCAAGGGAGGCACTTTCAGACCCCTACTGCTCCTAGGAGCAAGCTAGGGAATTCCATTTCTCAGGCCACTTCCATTAGGACAGGCTGTGAACTTAACTCTGCTGAGAACTTGCTGTGGAATTGTGACCTTTGGGGATAGCTCCTTCGGCACTTTGCTTTACTTCTTTTCTTGTCAACAGTGGTTTGGAAGTTGCTGGAATGGGGGAAATCAGATGGCTCCAACAGGCAATGTGGCAGATAAGCAACAGAGCTGTTAGCAGCTTCCCCGGCACCCTAAGAGGCACAGTCTGGCACTGCTAGCTGAAAAAGGGGGTGGGAGAGGGCTGGGGGGGGCTCCCCAAGCCTGAGGCTTGCTGATGCCTTAGGTGAACTTCATCACTTTCTATAGCACCCTAGTCTCAGCATTCTTTGGCAGATGTCCTGATTGGTTAGGAGATTGCTGCTTCCTGACAGTGGTGATTACTTCTGAAAGATGAGGTAACAGCCACCACTGTCCTTTCTGAGCATTTACTAGGCATCGTCATTACGCAAAGCATTTTTATGCATATCATCCTATTGAAGCCTCTGAAAACTCCCATGAGGAGAGCAGGCACCCCGATGGCCTCACCTTGGTCCTGACCCTGCTGAATACTGCTATTACCTCTGTCTTCCATTTGACAGATATAGGAACCGAGATTCAGAGAGGTGAAGTAACTTTCTGTAAATCACACAGCTAGCAAACAGTTGGGGTACATCTCTCTGACTCCTATGCTCATTCTTCTAAGACTTATTTTTGATATGGCTTTTTAAATTGATTTTGGGCTACTGTATAGAAAACCTGAGTTATTTATCACTAAAACGTATCCATTAGCTGGCCCTGAAATGTTCTGCAATGAGTTTAAGAAGCAGATGACTATAGCAGTTGAACAGTTTAAAAAATTGTGTATGGAAGCTGAAGTTGTATTAAGGTAGATCTTTATTTTCCTATATGTAAATGTCACAAAGAGCAGGGCCTATGCTGCAACTAGGCTTCTTCTTTTTTTTCTTTTTTTGAGACAGAGCCTCAAGCTGTCCCCCTGGGTAGAGTGCTGTGGCATCTCAGCTCACTGCAACCTCCAACTCCTGGGCTCAAGCGAGTCTCCTGCCTCAGCCTCCCAAGTAGCTGGGACCACTGGCGCCCTCCACAATGCCTGGCTATTTTTTGGTTGCAGCTGTCATTGTTGTTTGGCGGCCCAGGCTGGATTTGAACCTGCCACCTTGGGTGTACGTGGCTGGCGCCTTAGACACTCAAGCCATAGGCTCTGAGCCACAACTAGGCTTCTAATGGTTAAAAAGAGAGGAGTAAACTGTCACTGTTGGCATTTTCTCAATAATATTTGCATTTTCATTTCTATGGAAGTTCATTTTAGCAAAAGAATGTAGCTTTCTTCACTTGAAACTGCTCTTCCCTAGAAAACAATTGCAAACATAATAAGCAAAAAGAATAGAAAAATGCCCGTAGGGAAAAAATGACTCATCTGAGTTCAGGTTCATTGTGCAGGTTGATTCTTACTTCTGACATTCAGGAGGGAAAACTTAAAATTTTTTTGAATTTTAGAGTATTTAAGATTTGCAAAAAGTCAGGGGAGAGGGAGAAGGAATTAAATTTCAGTCCCATTGGGCAAGGATCAAGTACACATTTCCTCAATTCTTAAGAACCATTTTATATGTTCAAATCACCTTGTAGCTCCGTAGCCCCTTCTGCATAAGGCATATATACTGGTTGCTCTGGGAGGATACAGGGAGGTCATGATTGCTTTAAAATTATTCATAATAAAAACACATTTTGAGACTTGTTTCTAAATGTTAAACTTAAATTTGAGCGATTTAATTGTCCATTGAATAGGAATGAAATCCCACCGGTAGGCAGTTATTTCTTACAACCACTGTGTGTGAAATTGAAATCTTAAGATACCATTTCAAATATTCACCTTCTCTAAGGAAGTTCTCCCCAAAGAGTTGTGAAAGATAAGAAACTGACCCAAAGTCATATGCAGTAATCTCTTTTTCTTTACACACAGGTCAAAGTAGAAGCATATTATTAAAAGGAAATTTTATGCCCAAATTTGGCTGTTCTGAGGTTACCTCTTGGAACCCAAGGATATATTTATTTTAACAACTGTCTGGAGCCCCATTCCAACTGTAGCAAGAAAGGTAGTAATTTATCAGATTAAACAAAAACAAGCAAATACAAACATTATCACCTAGTCACCAAGATAAAGAAAATTAAAATGGAAAATGCTTATAGGTTATTTTTAGGACCAGAATGGAGTGAGGACCCTAGCAAAAGTCTGTTTGCTTTGTGAAAAACAGGAAGTAGATTTTTAATTTGAATGGGAAATTATTATTTTAAAACTCTCATTTCAACTTTAAATTCCAAGCTCTTTTAAAATTATCTTGATGTCCTTTTGCATAACATGAATAGTTAACCACTTATAAGCGCTTACTATATGCCAGGCTCTTTCTGCACAATCAATCTCTTATCTATTACTAGCCCCAGTTACAAATCTATGTGTCACACTTTGCATTCATTAGCTCACATAATCCTCACAAAAACCTAGCAGTTAAGTCCTGTCATCTCCATTTTACAGATTGAGGATACTGGGAGTTAAATTCCTGCTGTTCAGCCAGGTTCACAGCGGTGTTAAAGGGAGTTAGAATACAGACAGTCTGACTCTGGAGCCACTACCCAATACTGCCTCCTCAGACGTACTTTCCTAGGCCATGCTAGCTGACAAGTAAGAGCCTAAACAAATCTGGCAGTCAAGTCCCAAAGTCCCAGCCTTTAACCACCTCATGGACTGGTTATGCTCGGGTAAACTGTTGATCACAACCTGTATGTTTCTTTTCATCTCTGATAGAAATGAAAGTAGAGGCTCGGTGCCTGTGGCTCAAGTGGCTAAGGCGCCAGCCATGTACATCCGAGGTGGCGGGTTCAAATCCAGCCTGGGCCGGCCAAAACAGCAATGATGGCTTCAACCAAAAAATAGCCTGCAACCAAAATATAGCCGGGCGTTGTGGCGGGTGCCTGTGGTCCCAGCTACTTGGGAGGCAGAGGCAGGAGACTCGCTTGAGCCCAGGAGTTGGAGGTTGCTGTGAGCTGAAATGCCATGGCACTCTACCCAGGGGGACACCTTGAAGCTCCTGTCTCAAAAAAAAAAAAAAAAAAAGAAAGAAAGAAAGAAAGAAATGAAAGTAGAGAGGTCCTCGTTACATATTTATCATATAATTTAGACTTGCCTAAAAATTCTAGGGCTTTTTCTTTTTTTAACTAAAAGCAAGGATCTGATCAGGAAAAACATTTTATATGCTGAAGTCCCAGCTTCGACCTAAGGCTGCTGTTAAAGCTTCCCTTGACACACACAGCACACACACACACACACACACCACACACGGACGAGACAATGAGACAAGGGCATGCAGACAATAGCAAATCCTGGCTATACTTGTAATAAGTCAATGAAGATTTGGCTCTGAGCAGGGAAAACAAGCGTCTAAGGATTCACTTCTAACTTCAACCACTACCTTTCAGGGTGAGCTCAGCCAGGCCCATCAATGTCATCTTCGAAATGGGAACACAGTGCTTATGTCTCTGATCTAGACTGTTCATATAAGGCTGGATTCTGAAAGGACTTGGTGGTTTCCTCTTTGCAAGCCTTATGACTGGCATCATGCACAAACAGGCCTTAATAACACTTTCTAAATGCAGACATTTTCAAGAAACTCTGAGGTCCGAGGGAATCAGTTTTTCTCTGTGGAAGGGCAGATTACTAGCCCCCTCCTCTCCCCTTCTGAATGTCTCCCTCTTCCTAGAACAAGGTTGGAGGGGACACTTGAACCCCCAAACCAAGTCAGCCTTCTTCCTCTTTGCCTGACCCAGGCCAAAATAATCTCCCAGATACAGTTCTTGATTATTGGAAAAGCACTTTCTCTGGTCGAGGTATTACTAGCATTTTACAGGAGACTGGGGGGTGAGGTGGGCAGTTTAACTGTTGGAGTGAGCTTTCTGAAAGGTAGTGAGGGAGGGAAGTCTCCCGTCAGCAGATGGAGAGGAGACCAGGACCAGGGTGGTCTCGCCCAGCCTTCCTCCCTCGAGATTAGCTGCCCCGGCACTACTCAGGGTACAGCCGTGTGGTCCCAGCTTGCGCAGCTCCACTGCCTCTCTGGAGCGCAGCCGCAATCCCAAGCCCGCAGCCAGCAAAGTCGCGCAATCCTGGGCGTCCCAGCGCTCCGCATCCGTGGACCTGGGACCTCGAACCCGGGGCGAGCACGAAAGCCACTCGGAACACTTGTATTTCTGTACGTTTATTTCACATTCTTTTCTTGCTTGCAAGAGCTGCCTATTGGTTACTTTCAGCCTTAGTTAAACCCAAAGGAAAAGACAGAAGGTTGGAAGCCCTAAAAAATGATTTAGCGACTGCCCAGCGTCTTCGCCATGGAGAGGTGTCCACTGAGCGACTCTCTCTTGTCCCCGATGCTGGTCCCTTTAAGAAGCCAAGTCAGTCCTGATGCTACTGTTTGTATTGCTAATACCCAAGAGCCCCGTTTAAAAAAAAAAAAGGGAAAAAAGGGGAGGGGGGACTGGGCAGCTGTCTCTTTAAATGTGATTTCCTTCTATTGTATTTGAATCGCGATCAGGAAAAAGGAAATGAAACCAGAGACAGAGGGAAGCTGAGCGAAAATAGACCTTCCCGAGAGAGGAGGAAGCCCGGGGAGAGACGCACGGGTTCCCCACCCCCCGGCCGCCGCCCCCTCTGCCCTCGGCGGCGAGCTGCGCGCCACGACCCCGGCTGAAGGTGCGAGGGGTTCGGGCGGGCGCGCACCATCCCCGTGGGCGGCGCGGAGCCGGCGACAGCGCGCGATCGGGACCGGGCGGCGGCAGCGGCGGTGGCGGCGGCGGGACCGGGATGGAAGGTTAAGTCCTGAGCAGCAGCAGTAGCTGCTGCAGCCGCCCGGGGCCAGGCTGCGCGCCCCGGCCCCTGCTTCGGCCGCGGCGCCCCCGCAGCCCGGTGATTCGCTCTCTCTCTTTGGCGTTTGAAGGGAGCGCGGTGACTGTCCTTGAGCGCGGAGGGGCGAGCTCGCCGCCGGAGCGCCGAAACAAGCGGAGGCGCAGGAGCGGCGGCGGCGGCGCCCGAGCACCCGAGGGGGTCCGAGTCCCGGCAGCCAGCCAGCCCCGCGCCACAAAGGGAGCGGCCCCACCGCCCGGCACGCCGCCTCCCTCCCCAATGTCCTCGGCCATCGAAAGGAAAAGCCTGGACCCGTCTGAGTAAGTGTGGCGCTCCTACCCCTGCCACCCATGATGTCCACGGCCTCGCGCCCTGGAGCGGCGGGGTGAGGAGGGGTTGCGCGGGCGGCCTCAGAGGGGGCTTTAGGTGCGCGCCTGCGGCGTGCCCTTGGCCCCCTCTGCTTTGCAAGGGGCTCCCCTATCCTCGCGGGTGACTCGGGGCGAGAGGGACTTGGGCGGCGGGCGGCCGAAAGAGGGGATCGGTCGGTTAGGGAGCCTCTACGGGCCCCTCCACGCTAGCTGGGACTCTCCCTAAAGCCGCCGCGGGCCGGAAAGTTTGCACTGGAGCAGGCACAGAGGGAACGTGGAGGCGCGCAGGTGCAGTATAGAGAGCGTTCTGGGTTTGAGTCGACCCTCTTTCTCTTTGTCCATTTGGTCTTGGAAAGGGGAACATTCCAAGTGGAGGCCTTTGGGGGACCTCAATGGCCCCCTTCTCGGTCCGCAGATGGAGCGGCTGCCAGCTGCGAGGGTAATTAGCTGGTGAGAGGTCCGACCAGTTCACCTAGGAGCTCTCTCTGGTCTCCGGAGCTTTCTGGAGCAGCTAAATCCGTACACATGTACCCGCTCCCCGTGGTCCACTGATGAGGGCCTGTGAGCCTCAAAAGTTAGTGCACTATTGTGTATAGGTGAATTTTTCTGAGGAGCAATGCCATAGTTTTTGTCATAGTCTCAAGAGGGTTTGGGGGTCAGGGAATCAAAGCTGTAGTGAGCACTTGCCGCATCTGTTTTCTCAGTCTCATACTGTTAGGGAATGTTCTATTCCCAACCTGTACACCGAACCCATTCTTTAGTGTAAACATGAGGATCCAGGGGTGTTTAAGATATCATTTTCTTGTCAATGCAAATGCCCTTTTAAGAGTCATTAGCTGTCTGGTTTTGAGAATTTTTGTTCCTTTGAAGTCCTCATCTAATCCTTTGAAGGGATTTGTTACACAAGACCAAAGGAGCTGGTTAATGGCTTGTCCATTTGTGCTTTTAAAGAGGCATTTGTTTTGTTTTTTCTTTTCCTGCTCTAAAAGAATTGTGCTTTCCTGCTTGAAGTATCCTCCCTCCCCAATTTCAGCTTTCTGTGGTGTTTATTTACCTGGGTTTTGCCCTCAGTTACTGGCATAAAAGCTCAGCACCTTCTCATAAAACACAGGAAGTACCACCATCCAGTGAGAGTATAAACATCACTGTTCAGTCTTGAAAGATAAGACACCAGTTCTATAAGGAGCTAGGTTTGTCATAACAAAAGCCCAGCTTGCTTAAACGAATTCCCCAAAGAAAAATAGCAATTCTTTTAAAAGTATACATCTAGGCAACAATGGGTTTAAAGGGTGGTTTGTTCACTTTTTATAAACTTAGAATTACAACCCAGCTCTGAGTTTCAGAGACTGGGCAAGATCCTAGTAATACAATATGGGAGTGAATTGGATGAATTGGTGCCTAATGCCTTTTTGATCAGCAGAATTTAGTGACTCATCCTTTTAGTAGAGGATAAATCTGGAGGTTTCCGTTCCCTGAAGGAAGTTTGCTCTTTTCAAAGTTTGCTTTTTTGCCAAGGTTAGAAAATGGAAACACAGCAGGCCTCTACCGATGGAGGCTCACCTACATCATCCTTCCCTGTTGCCCAGTCTAATCAAAGATGAAGGAGCTAGTTGAGAATTGGCCACAGCACATATGTCCCCCCCCCCTTCTGGGAAACTGTTGAGAAATTATCCCAGAAATCCAAGCTAAAGTGATACTCAGACATAATATTCAGGACAGACTCCGGGAGAATAGAAAATACTAATTCTGTTTAGTTATTGTCTTGGATTGCCCACCAAAGATAATGTGATGGTATCACTAATTCTAGGGAGCTAAATGGAGTTGCCAGTATCTTATCCTTTCTTTCTCTATCTCATCTCAGGCCATCACCATGGCTCTTTTCCTTTACATTCCTGCTGTAGCCCACTATCCAGCTAGCTGCTTCTTCATGTACTTACTCAAAGCTAACTTGGGTCATGACAGTGTCTCCAAATTGCACAGAGACTTGCCCAGGCATACAAAATGAAACATTCAGGCAGAAAAACGGCCAGAATTCACAAACATAGAGATTTCCTCACCATGCAGTTGGTGGCCCCTGCTGCCTCCCTGTAAGTAACCAGAGCGCTTTATTTTAATTCCAGGCAGTTTTGTACCAGCTATGTGCAAATTCTCTTTCACAGTTGGTTGGCAGTGTCAGCATCAGAGCATCCAGTGTGCTTGAGGTGCCATGAGGTTTTTTGAAAGTAAGATGGGAGAGCCAGGGAAGGAGAAGAGATGTGATTGAGTTGATGCATGTGTTGAGGCCAGGACATTAGTTATTAGAAGGGAGAATGGAAGTTTACGCACAATCTGTAGAAACAAAGGAAAGCAAGTTAGGCTTCAGTGAATTCTTAAAACTGTGGTCTTGATGTTGTTTTTCAAAGAAACTGGCCTGAGCTTCACATTTCCTTGTTCTAAAGATGAAATCTCATGAAGCATTCTTACACTCTATCTACAAAACAAGGGCTTGGTTTCAGTATCCCTATGTGAATGAATATTTGCTGGGAATATGTCATACTTTACCTGACGGAGTCACCTGGAGTTGTCAGAGTACTATAAACAGGGATCACCTGATCTTCTTGTCCCTAAGGATAATGGGTGCTAAGCTCTGTGAGCACAGGCCAATTAGGACACAAGGTCACCTGGTAAGTTAGTGCTACCTAGAAATAGGAGACACAGATTTATACCTCGAAGGTACCCAGGAGGAAAGTCCCTTTGGGAATTTCACAGTTGGAAGAAGGTCCATTTTCTGCAGCAGTAGATTTTTAAAAAACAGATTTGTGTTTAAGCAGGATTCCAGAGAGCACTTGTTAATTATTACATATCAACAACTATCAGGTTTTTCCCGTGTCCCATGTGGTGCTAGAACCGTTCCCTCCACTCCCCTTATTGTCCTTTGGCAAAATTATTTATTTTAAAATGTAAAACAGAAGCGTTGAGGTTTCCGTGAAGCAAAGTGAACAGGAGACACTGTGCTTGGCTTTTTAATGAAAGAACACATATCACAGGTGCACCATTAACTAATTGCCTGGATTGAGATTTCAGCATCTATTTAGTTTCCTTTCATTCTCTATAAAATAAGCATTGCCCTCTCCTCATTTTTCCCCTAAATCCACGTCAGTTTTGCTGTTATAAAAATTTTCAGGTGAGGATGGCTCGGCACCAGTAGCTCAGTGAGTAGGGTACTGGCCACATACTCTGAGGCTGGTGAGTTCAAGCCTGGCCCAGACCTGCTAAACAACAATGACAACTGCAACCAAAAAATAGCCAGGCATTGTGGCGGGCTCCTGTAGTCTCAGCTATTTGGAAGGCTGAGGCAAGATAGTTGCTTAAGCCCAAGAGTTTGAGGTTGCTATGAGCTGTGATGCTATGGCACTCTACCAAGGGTGACATAGTGGCACTGTACCAAGGGTGACATAGTGACACTCTGTCTCAAAAACAAATTTTTTTTTCAGGTGAGGAAAGAAAAGTCTGTGTGATGTCCTTTGTAAGTTTGACAGTGGCCTTAAACCTAGGGTTTTTCTTCAAGGATTCATTCAGTAGTAAGGATAGAATGTGGGATTTCTTTTAAAACAAATAGGGAGAATTCCTATGATATCCTGATGGGATTTTTCTTTTGGAAAGCGAAAGCAACCTAAGATAATTTTTGTTCGTATTCTTTCTTCTTCACCTCTGCTGTTGTACATTTGGGAAGGGCTGGAGGAGAATGGCACATAGAGTGGACAGGGAATTTGCAGACTGTTAGTACCCTCTTAGTCCTGAGTGCCTGCCCTGAGGTTAGGCAGAGCTCTGGGTGCTTGGTATAGGAGGAAGAAAAAGAGGGAGAGCTGTGAAGATGGAGGAGGAGAGTCACAGGAGAGAGTGGGGGAAAGCAGAACAGAGAACAGAGGGGCCAGGCAGTGCTGGGCATGGGTGGGGCTTCTCCGCCACCTTCAGCGGCTTTTGATGCCTCTTGGTGCCCTGCCTTAACTTCTTAGAGAACCTAGGGTGTGAAGTCTTAACCCAAGCTTAGCTGGGGCTGTCTGTAATCTGGCCAAGAGATGTGTCATTCCATTCCTTCTTCTTAGATCACCAAAAGCCAGTCAAGTGACACTCCCTGTCTGGCCCAGAGTGATCCCCAACCCCCATTACTAGTCTCAGCCTGGGAGGTTATCCCTAATGTTTGGCCATGTCTCTAGGGAACCCGTGGATGAGGTGCTGCAGATCCCCCCATCCCTGCTGACATGTGGAGGCTGCCAGCAGAACATTGGGGACCGATATTTCCTGAAGGCCATCGACCAGTACTGGCATGAGGACTGTCTCAGCTGTGACCTCTGTGGGTGCCGGCTGGGTGAGGTGGGCCGGCGCCTCTACTACAAGCTAGGCCGGAAGCTGTGCCGGAGAGACTATCTCAGGTATCTTCCCCCCCACCCTGGGCTCTCGGGAGGGAGGTTGGGGGGTCCATGGACGTCTACACCTGTGTATATCACCCCCCACTGCTGCTTGGGGCTTGGACACCACTTGCCCAGAGAGGTTGGGTCGTGTAGGCTGCTTCTCAGCTCCCTATGCGGAGAACAAGTTGCCCTTTCTTCCCGCTGTAGAAGCACCTTCTTAGGGATGTGTTCCTATGGGGTAAAATGCTAATGTTTTTAAAGGCAAGAGAATGAAAAACACAAAATTCAGGAGAGTGGTTCCTTCTGGGGGTAGGGCAGACCCGGGGTAGGGTGGAGGAGGACACACAGTGGGTCATAGGAACTGGAGATGTCTTAATTTATAAGTTTGGGGTGTGGGTTCTTAGGAGCTTGTTCAAACACTTCAAAACATAGATATAGGTTGTGAATATTTTTTGTATGACTCTAGTGTTCTGTGATATGAAATGTAAAAACAGCATGTTCTTGCATTAAGTCTCCTAGGAGGAAGGTCTGAAGGACATAAGGTCAAAGGCTTCTGAGTCAGTCGTAGGTTTGATTTCCAACACCATTGCTTTCTAGCTCTGTGACCTTGGGCAAGTTACTTAACCTCCCTAAGCCTCATCTGTAAAATGGGGATAATAATAGTACCTCCTTCAAGGAAGTGGTGAGTATTAGAGGGAATAATACAAGTCAAGAACTTGGCTTGGCACATGAGTAGCAAATAGTTGTTAGTTGCTCTTATAACTTACCCTTCTGGCATAATCATTAAGTATTTTCCAAGCTAATGAACAGGGAGATAGTTGGAAGAATGGAAGGATGCAATAGGAACTTGATGATGCCAGGTGAAACAGGAGCTGAGGACATCTCCTGTGCTCCAAGTCAGACTACTGGCCATCTGAATATTCCAGTGCTCGACACGTACCTTTGCCTGGAATGTTCTAGCATTTCTAGTTGCATATTAGCGGTTGCAGAGGTAACTCTCCCTGCCCTCTACTGTCAGATCTGCTCAACTGTGTAGCTGTCAGTTTTTCACTGCCTTCCTGTGGCCAAGGGTCTGTGAAGCATGAGGCCTTCATACATTAGGACCATCCAGCCCAGGGAAGCTTGTTTAGACTTGGGTACCCTTGACTGCTGGGCCAGCTCTCCCTCCCAAATTTGCCCTCAGAGCATTTTACATTTAAAAAAAAAAATCTTTAGCTAATTTCACAGTGAAGGAAGCTTAATCTGTTTACTCAAAGACCGATAAATAAACTTGTTTCCCTTCCTCAATTCCCTGATAAAGACTTGGCATGTTTGTTGGTTGCAAGAAAATAAGTAGGGTTTTTTCAGTGATCATGCTTATGATTTTTTCAATTTTCTTTGTAAGTCACAAGAAAATAGAACTGGGATAAATACAGACCTGGTTTTGCTCGTTCCCACTTTGCCATGTCAGTCGGAAAGCAGCCGGGTAAATGATTCCCACTGGGCTCCAAACTACATCCCTGTCAAATCATTTGAATCTTATTAAATGAAGTGCGGATAGAGTAAGGTCAAAAGAGCCTGGGCTTCTCTCTTTCTCTACCGTTTTATATAACATTCTAGAATAAAACCAGTGCTGCCTGGGCTTATTAATCTTTTCCATTTTCAAAAAGGAGAGGAAAAAAAAAAAACCCTAGTCTGGGAAAGCCCAATGTTAATTAACTTGTGTCTTGGTGACATGAAATAATTCTTCTCCCTGCCACATTCCTAGGCAACATGTTAATTAACTGTGTTAGTGCAGGCGGTTCCAGCTATCCTTTAATATTTATATTATTGTTATTAAAATGGGTCGCAGAAAGCTTATGGCCAGACGCGTCTTGACAGAGGAGAAAAATTGTTTTTGCTTTGGGGGATGGTCCCCTAGCCATGGACTTGTTTACTTGCATTCTTAGCATATCTGGGGGTGTCATTTAACTAATTGAGCCCTCTAATCAGGTTCAGGCCTTCTTGCTCCCTGGGATAACTTATTCCCATAGGATTCCCAGTGGCTAACTTGCCTGTTAAAGTCCTTCTCAGACACTGAGCCTCAAATATTCATGAGACCCCCATGCAGAACCCCTGCCACTGTTGCGGCAAGGATTTATGTGCAAGTGAATTATGAAGAATGAACTCTCAGGAAAAACCTATAAGGAGGCAGGGATAGAAGCCAAGCCCCAGTTGCAACCTCAGGCAGAAGGGAATTCTGGACTGTTTTATTTGGAATCAACAGCAGCTGTTAATGTCTGCACATGGCCCAGATACTCTTTGATCCCCCTCTACAAATTTTTTCTTTTTTGAGACAGAGTCTCAGTTTGTCACCCTGGGTAGCATGCTGTGGTGTCACAGCTCACAGCAACCTCAAACTCCTTGGCTCAACCGATCTTCTTGCCTCAGCCTTCCGAGTAGCTGAGACTACAAGCACTCACCTCAACCCTTGGCTATTTTTAGAAAATTCATGAGCTCAAGAAATCCACTGGCCTTGGCCTTCCAGAGTTCCCCTTTACCAATTTTGTGTGCTTTGTGGGGGCGCCCCCCCCCCTTACAGCGCAGTGTTTCCTAAACTTTTTTATCACATGGCACACTTGAACTTACAGGTAAACTTCAGCAACACATTTAAACTATTTGATCAGAAAAAAAAGAATAAAAATAATATTTACCGTGCTTTGAACTTCTTTAAAGAATAATTAGTGAGCTTTTAAAATTTTCAGGACACGCTAGCGCACCGCACACCAGTTGAAAATCATTGCTCTAGTGGTTTTACTTTCAACACCCACTACCTGCATCTATTACAGCCAAAAGTCTGCCCGCCCCCACCACACCTCCCCACCCCACGAGGGGACCTTAACCAGTAGCAGACACTATGAAAGTACCAAAGCCTTGCAACCTTTCCTGGAGCCTGGGCGCAACTTACACTCCGAGCTCTTCCCTTCTGAGGGATTTTGCCTGAGGTTGCAACTCGGGCTCGGCTTCCATCCCTGCCTCCTGATAGGTTTTTCCTGAGAGTTCATCTTTCATAAATCACTTGCGCAGAAATCTTTGCCTCAGGGTCTGCTTCTGGGATATGCAGCCTGAGACACCGATTCTTGGTGCCAGACGTTAATGCTCAAGTTAAGTGTCAAGTCCAAGATATTAGAATCTCAGGATCCCAGAGCCAGGAGGACTTATGGGGCCTTCTCTTCCAGTTCCCTTGCTTTACAGCCTGCTGAGGGGATGTCATGTGCTTGAGTCACCTAGCTAGTGAGAGGTGATGCTGGGACCTGAACTTGTCTCCTAAATTTGGTCTTTTGTCCTTCCCTTCATTAGCTGCCTGACGTGTATTGTAATTTACCCCCTGACTTCCCTTTAATAAGCTCCCTTCTTTCTTAAGGATCGCACACCCCAGGCAGTTGGATTCAGTCCAAGCACACTGTTTTCTCAGTCGTGTACCCTTGCTCAGGCCCAAATGTAACTTACTGAACAGTCAGGAAACCAGAACTGTCTTTCCACTCTCTGACCTCCAATGTGGCAGTTGCCTACAGCTTCACCATCTGCTGTGTTAGGATAAAACGTCTCCCCCAGTAATGAGTTTGCTCCCAGGCGGTGCTTTGAAAACATTCAAGAGATCTTCAAATGGAAAGCAGGATTCAGAGGGAAATTAGCTGTCCCTGGCTCTAACAAAGAGCTCTCTACTCACAGACCACCTCTTCTTAATTACATTAATTTTGCCCAAATATTGCAAAATTCATCTACTGCCCTTCTCTCTCCTATGAGCTTTCAGAACATTACCAATTGATTTCTCTGACATTCTGAAGATAATAATAAGTTCTAATAAGAACAGGCATTTACCCCAAGTCCTAAAGGATTTATGGGAAACCACATGCTAGCATGCTATGTTATTAGCCACGTGTAAAACTTCCTGTAAGACTGGGGCAGTCGGGAATACACTCGAGATGTGTTAACACATAACTGGCATCGGCTTAGCCCCTGACCATCGGTGCTCTGACACGCTCTGTTTGGTCCTTCTAACAGCAAGTGAGATCAGTGCTATGATTGCTGCCATTCATGGAGCTCAGAGAAACCAAAGGTCTCACCAGGGTCACTCGGGTACTCACGGCCTCCTGGACATTGAAGCTGTGTCTTCTGTCTCCAGTGCTCGTGTTACTCCACTTTCACAGCTGATTTCTTAACACTTCAACCTGCCTCCCAGTCCCCCGGAAGTGCTCATTAATACGCAGACTGCTGGGCTTCTCCCCCGACTGTCTCAGCTTAGGGCTGAGAGTCTGTATTTCTAACCAGTTTTCAGACAGTACAGATACTTCTGATCCCAGGACCAAGACTTTGAGATTGAGTCTTTGGTACGAAGACTGCACTGAGCTCTACCAGGTTATATCTCCCCCCTTGACACTGAGTACTGCTTGAAGTAAGTGACTGATCAACTGAGGCTTAAGAGGGTCTTGGATTAAATGTCAGAAGAGAAGTTTTCCCAAAGATTTATAGCTGTGGGGCAGTGAGGACTATGAGTGGAGATCTTCCATTCATTGTGGAGAGATGCCATTTGACCTCTAAATTTCTGGAGGTGCCATGTGTTTTCTGTGCAACTCCCTGTCTGCAGCACCTGGGCCCCCAGGGAATGATCAGGTGGAGATGCGCTTTGCAGCTTATTGGAGGTATTCAAGGCCTGCCCTCCCCCATGGGTAGAATCAGTGGCTGTTATCAGTGGTTGTTAACAGGGCAGTTTGGGACTCTCAAAAGGATGAACATCTCATTGCATTTCTCCAACTCCTCTTGGAATACTTGCCTGAGCCTTTATCACAGATCATTTCAGCTGAGAGTGTCATCCACAGAAGCAGGGCCTGGGCAGCCTAGGGGAATGGGGAGTGGTTGCTGGAGGCAGGGAGAGGGCTCAGGATAGGGAGGAGTTACGCTGCACCCAAATGCCAGCTTCCTGCCAGCACTCTGCCTGCTGGGGGAGGACAAGTTGCAGTCCCTCTAGGTAATGACCCTTCCTGGCTTCCTGGACGTTCAGCCTCCTTTCTAGAACTGGTCCCCAAACCCTGTCTTCCAGGATTGTCCCCGCCACTCACTGTCTTCTTAAGGCTTTTGTTTCTTTTTGCTGCAGGCTTTTTGGCCAAGATGGTCTCTGCGCATCCTGTGACAAGCGGATCCGTGCCTATGAGATGACGATGCGGGTGAAAGACAAAGTGTATCACTTGGAATGTTTCAAGTGTGCCGCCTGTCAGAAGCATTTCTGTGTGGGTGACAGGTACCTCCTCATCAACTCTGACATAGTGTGCGAACAAGACATCTACGAGTGGACTAAGATCAATGGGATGATCTAGGCCAGTGAGCACCTGGACACGCTTCCGGTGTTCACTGAAGACACCGTCTCCGTCGGGTCTTCACTCGTAGGCACTTTGGGAGTTTGAGGGAGGGGTGAAGCTCTTTTTAGGGGATAGTAGACCCATATTGGACACTAAGACATAGCATTCAAGTGAACTAATGCGAGGGCCAAGACTTCAAGGGGATAAAATGACCAGAACATAGGGAGAATTTATGGTCACAGACTATTCTCAGTAACTGACACCATTAGCAGAAGAAAGGACCATTTAGGGGCAAGCACTCGTTGTGCTTTTATGATGGAATTTCACCTCTCCAGATAGGGAGTTGTATAAAGACTTGTTAAGAGCTTTGACACTTGCCAACTAGAGATGTGCAATTGATTTCTTTTCTTCCTGGCTTCTGTACCAACCCTGTTACACTTGCTGTACTCCATACAAGGGCAGGACAGAGAGGAGAATAGTCGCTCTTTTTATCTTGGCCACCTTCCCAAGGCCATAAGCTTTGGACCCTCGGAAAACTGCATGGAGACACATTTCACTTGAGAATGGAAACCACAACTTTGAACCAAACAGTTATTTAAAGCAATGCTGATGAATCACTGTTTTTAGACACCTTCATTTTGAGGTGAGGCATTCCACAGAGTGTTTCTATACAAATATAAATCTTAAAAAAAAAAGTCGTTCAACTATTTTATTATCTTAGAGTATATCAAAAGATTTGTGGTGTGTAGTAAAAAGAAATGACTCTGCAGACTTAATAAAAATGACAGACTGAGATGGAGTGTGGTTCATTTGATTGTGACTTAACCATTGGGATAGCAGGAAAATCGTCTGCTTTTTCTATGGTATAGGAGAAGTAAACCAGCAATTTACTTTTAGGTCAAATCAGAACTTCATTTATTGCAAGGGTTTATGTGAGGCAGGCACATTTCTACATTCCAGGCAATTATATAACAGGTCATCTTGTAGCTCAGAGGGATGTAGAATAATTAAATTGTTATTGTAAAATGTGCATTTCACTTCAGCATTGTATAGAATGAGTGGAAGGCAAGATCATTGCCTTTGGGAAACTTGTAACCTAGAAAGGACACAAATACATAAAACAGATTCCCTTTGGGAGAAAAGGTAATTACCTAGTTTGAAATGTGGGAAAGATGCTGAGCTTGACACTTCGATTTTCCAAGACGGGTGGCTCAGGGTATTTTATGACAAGTGGTTAGGAGGACCTTACTTTGAGGATTTAAAGCAGGTACCGTGGTTGGTATGTCTGCCTTCACCCGGTCCCTGTGGCCACCATGAGCTGACTCAGAGCGCCACCTGCTGGGCTGGTCTTCACCTCTCAGCTCACTAGCCCAAAAGCGTAGTCGTGAAGAGCAAACCCAGATGAAGAATAAGTGATACTTTTCAATGATTTCATTAAAATGTTGGCAAATACAAGTCTAAATATGTTTAATTAGTAAGACATAAGAAAATGCAGCTAAGGATACAGTTAATTAACTATGAGTTTCCTTTAAAATCTCCCTCACTAAACTTTTTTCTTCTTCTAGAGGAGAAATAACAAATGATGGCTTTCTTGTTCTGCAAGATGCTAAAATTGGCTGGGAAATTTGACTGCTGCAGGTGGCCTATTTAAATGAAATCCTCTCACACTGCATTCCAGCTCAGGTGGTGGTGGTAAGGAGGTACCAGTGAGGGAAAATGTTTGTCCTAACTCAGTGGTTCTTAGTTGTCCCCTGAACCAGCAGCATGAGCATCACCTGGGCATGAATTAAAAAAAATATATACAAAAAACAGATTCATGGCCCCGCCAGATACACTGAATCGGAAACCCTGGGGATGGGCTTCAGCAGTGTTGCAACAGGGCCTAAAGATGATTGTGAACTCACACTCCAATTTGAGAATGGCTGTTCTAAAACATACCCCAGTGAAGAAGAGCATGTATTCGAAGTTGTTAACAGTTAATATTCGGCACAAAGGTTATTCACTGGGTACTTTTCCACAAGTTCCCAAATACTCTCTACCTTTGGTCCCTAAACTAGAAACTTTTACATACTTTTATCACTTAGCTATCAGTTGTTTTGTGTGTCATTTACCAGATTAATCACAATGTAATCCACCATATTTTTTACCATATTGACATTAATAATAAGAACAATTAAACAGGATATAGCTATGAGATTTTCTTATAGGCAGTATTAAGTAAAAAATAAAGATGATCCTTACTTTGAGATCCTCGTTATAGTACAACACGTTTGATTTAAGAAATCAGCTAATACCTTGGCCATCCTCAACAAAGTAATTGACATTTTCCATTTGTCAAGGACACCATCTTTCCAGAATTGTGGATGCACAGGCAGAGTGTGTGTAGGCAGTCACCCCAGGGACCTAAATGTACTGATTTGAAAGGAAATATAACCAGTTCTATGAAAAAACTTTGCTGACCCCTATAGGGTTTTTATAATCCTCTTCCTTCAGGGGTGTCCAGTCTCTAGGCCCCCAACCAGGCTGGTCTTGTGAGGACTTTTTTTTTGCTTATCTGTGGTGCTGGATATCACAGAAAATTTGCATGGTTCTGTTTTTTGCTAATCAGCTGTTATCAGTGTTTGTGTAATTTTTTTTTTTTTTTTTTTTAGAGACAGAGTCTCACCCTATTGCCCTTGGTAGAGTGCTGTGGCATCAGAGCTCACAGCAACCTCCAACTCCTGGGCTTAGGTGATTCTCTTGCCTCAGCCTCCCGAGCAGCTAGGACTACAGGCACCCACCACAACACCTGGCTATTTTTTTGTTGCAGTTTGTCGGGGCTGGGTTCAAACATGCCACCCTGGGTATATGGGGCTGGTACCCTACCCACTGAGCCACAGGCGCCACCCCAGTGTTTGTGTAATTCATGCGTGGCCTAAAACAACTCATGTTCTTCCAAAGTATGTCAGACAAAAAAAAAAGTTGGACACCACTAGGCCAGTAGGGCATGACAACTAGAACTCTGACATTTTTAACAACTACTTGACCTTTTGGGTGCTCACAAATGGTGGATTTTCTGCAAGACAAAGGAGTTGAGATTCTGAAGACCGCTGGGCAGACTTCCTGATGCCAAGACTCATCATCTACAACCTGCCCAGCTCCAGCTGTCCCAATGCACGCAGCTCCTTTGTTACACCGGGACTTGCCCCAGTACACACAGCTATTTCTTAAAAAGCCTGTGATCTCTGTTAGTTGTAGAGATGGATTTGAGGCAGCTTCTCTCATACTCCTGAAAAGGTATCTTTCATATTTAAAAAATTCCTTTCTAGGCTGGGCACAGTGGCTCATGCCTATAATCCCAGCATTTGGGAGGCCAAGGCAAGAGGATAGCTCGAACTATTTCAAGACAAGCCTGAGAAAGGGTGAGATGCCATCTCTACTAAAATAGAAAACTTAGCTGGGTATTGTAATGGGTGCTTATCGTCCCAGCTACTCAGGGGGCTGAAGCAGGAGGATTGTTTGAACCTAGGAGTTTGAGGTTTCTATGAGCTAGGCTGACACCATGACACTCTAGCTCAGGCAACAGAGTGAGACTATGTCTCACACACACACAAAAAATTCCTTTCTTCCTTAGCAATCCTCATTGTCTCAGTAATTGGATCTTTGTGCAGCCACCTACTGGACCAGGCTGAAGCCTACAAGGGGTTTCAGTAACAGAAGGACATGCACAGAGACATTGAGAGGGACCTGCCCTCAAGTCTACTCTGCTGGTCCTTGCCCAAATGTGCTACCACATGCTTTAGGCTCAGGGTCAGAGAAAAAGGCACCTGCTCTCTCCCTGCTCCAAGCCTGCATTAAGCAGTTTGCTGGGACATTTTGCTTCCTGTCATCTCTTTAATGTCTTTTGCTCCAAACCAGCTTCCTTTTATTACTGCTTCTAATAGAACCACTACTGCTCAGGGAAATTTGGACTCCTATGAAGTTAAAACAGAATAATGGTTAAGAGCTTTATCATCTGAAGACTTGGGTTCAGATTGGGATGACCTGGCTTTATTCACTCAATAGCCATTTACTTAGCACTTATTGGGTGCCAGGTACTGTTCTAGGAGCTTTACAAATATTAACCTCTCGGCACCACATGCCAGCCCTCTGGGGCACTTTACATTTATCATCACCTGCACTGTGCTGCAAGGAAGGTGAAGACCAGGCAGGTTAAGTAACCACCCAAGGTGCTCCAGCCATTGAGTGACAGAAGAGGCTTTAGCCAGGGCACTCTAGGCTGTGTGTTGGTGCCTCCTCTGAGGATTCCTTCCCGGAACAGCAGGGTTCTCATATGCCAAATGGGGGAAATTAATACCCTCTACCTTAGGTTATTTGAGGATATTTGAGTTTCGTCTAGCCTGACATGTAAACAAAACACAATAATACGAGTTTAGCATCACAGTAAAAATATGTAAGAAGTGCTAGGGAAACTCAGATAATGGAACAGTGAAATTGGCCCCAAGGTAGCTGTCTGGAGTAAAGAGTTAGTGACCTTCGAATGGGCTTTGTCATCTATCCAGAAAAAGAAATCATTTTATTATAAGGGCATTTGCACTAGACTGTTTATCACAGCTCAATTTACAATCGCCAAAATGTGGACACAACCTAAATGCCCACCAACCCAGGAATGGTATGTGGATGCCACGGAATACTATTCAGCCATTAAAAAAGATGGTGACTACATCTTTTGTATTAACCTGAATGTAGTTGGAATGCATTTTTCTTACTAAGTATCACAAGAATGGAGAAGCAAGAATCCAATGTACTCAATTCTAATATAAAGCTAGTAGATGGTCTAATACACGCCCACATAAGAGGAAAACTCAAATCAATTCAAGGTGAGGGGCAGGGCAATGAGGGAGTGGGCAGAAGGGAGGAGGATGGGGGATGGGTGTGCTCCAACTTAATGAGCAACAGTGTTAGGGTGTATGGCGCACCTCTTGGGGCAGAACACAATTATAAGAGGGGCTTTACTTAACAAATGCAAGCAATGTAACCTAATTTGTTGTACCCTTGATTAACCTAAAACAATAAAAACAATTTTTAATAAATAAATAAATAATTTTAAAACAAACAAACAAGCCTGTCAGGCTTCAACAAAAAATTTGACATGGCCTTTATTAGAGTGGAAAGCCAAGTAGGTGCTCATCACAGGATGAGGAAATAATTTCTCTAGAGCAAGATTAGGATATAAAAGTATAGACTTTATTTTATCTTAGACAGAGAGAGAGAATGAGAGAAGGAAAGAAAGTGGAGGAAAGAGGGAAGATAGCAAGGAGATGGCGCAACATCCCAAGGAAAGAAAGGAAAAAGGCCCACGGTGTGGTCTAGTGCCTGGGTGAATTTAAGGGGGCAAAAAGATACCTGCAGCCAAATTCACAAAGCACTGGGGATACAAATCTTGTATCTGTTTTTTCCTCCCACAAGGTTGAAGATAGACATTTTTCCAGATGTTTCCAATCCTGAGACGAGATGTTCATCCCCCATCCTTTGTCTGGGACACTCAGGAACCACTTGAGCCTAGTGGAACAAATTCTAAAAGGCAGATTTAGTCGCTAGATCTAAAGATTATTAAAAAAAATTGCATTTCTTTTTTCTCTTCTGGGCTCCTCATTGGCTTATGAAAACAGATGTCCACAGGTTGCCCAGCAAGAGAATTTATAGGATTGATCTTTAACTATTACTAGCAGATTGTAGGATGAGGTATTTTTCTGTTATTTTTGCAAGGCCACCCCTTTCAGCCTGGGACCTGGAAAGGGGTAGTGTGGGCGA